CAAAAAATTTTAATTTAACTAAGGCTTTCCTCAAGTTTAAAATTCTCCTTCTTTTGAATGTTCCTCCAATTTTGCATATAAAATGCTTTTACATACTTGCACTAGTGATCATTATCACAAATGGCCTTGAGAACGTCTTGAACAAGATTTTATGGACAAATAACCTATGCTTTGCAATCTTGTATGATCATTTAATCTTTGCACATGGAAGAATTATAATGAATACCTTAAGTCCCACGTAACACACATTTGAAGAAGTCCACATGAATGAATATTCCTACTCTTTGTAAGTTTGAAGTTAACTCGTGATAGCCAAAAGATGTGTCATAAGGACCTTGATTCGAATTCATCCTTAATTAAATAGCCCCCTTGTTTTAATGTTTAACCTTAAGCAGCTTGTATTGCAAGCAATGAACTCTTGAAAGGATACAGATTCCTTGAACATAATGAATTTCTCAGATCATACTCACCATTTAGAAATTCATTCTTCAAGTCCTTGATTTGATGATCAATGATAAATCACAAAAGGAAATATTTGAAGAAACTCTTGGAGATGAAGCATATAAAAAGATAGCTTTAACACACAACCCCAACCATGATCTTCTATTGATGAATATTCGCAAGCTTAAACACAAAATAGGAGAATACTTAAGATGATAAAGAACTATAGAAAACGAGGAAAGACTGGTAATCCGGGTAGCCTGGAGGCAGAAACCTAGCTCAATAAAACATGGTTGATTATAACCAAAACCAATGCTCAGACACAAAATAGAAGAAACCCTAATTCTCTGGGTATTGAATGCACATAGGTGAAGAAGTGACTTGAGATGTTGAGGAACAAAACCATGGCTCGAGGACATTCTCAACGAGGATATGATAAAATTTTAAGCATACAAGTTAAACCTTAAAGCACATGTTCTTTGATTAAATTTTGGATGCAAACACCGTTGTATCTTAATGAATCTTATCGAGGAGAATGTCCATGATGCTTGTGATCCAAAAAGCCCTAGTTCCATACCAAGAGTGATGAGAGGACCAATTTAATCAATCGTGAGTGAAGTAGAAACCTCAATCCATAGGGAAAAACCCTAATGTAAAGAGCCCTCTGATCCCATGCTTTTGAAGCTCCAATGAATGAATGATTTATAATGTAAATGCTTATGATGTTATGAATTAACATATTAGGGGTAAAAAAATGGGGTATGACACCCGAAAACATTTTTATTTTGACTTCTATAGGATTTGAGCCCTGTATTGAGAATGTTCATTTATTTTACATGTGAAGACTTTATCTCCTCAACAGGAATGTATTGGAATTTCCACAGGAAGTCAAAATTCATTCCCCAGCAGCGTTATCGCAATTCTCTTCGTAAACAGCAAGTGGCAGGTCTCTTTATTTGAGCAACTTGTTCTTCCCCCAGTAAGTTTGTTAACGTCAGAGAAGGTTGTACTCTGGTGGATTGTAGTCTCTCCATTAAGGGAGACAATTCGTTATTGAGATTTTTACTCTGATGGATGGTAGTCTCTTCATTATGGGAGATAGTTTGTTGTTGAGATGTTTTACTCCGACGGATGGTAGTCTCTTCATTAAGGGAGATAGTTCGTTATTGATATTTGTACTCCGATGGATGGTAGTCTCCTCTTAAAGGGAGATAGTTTGTTGTTGAGATTTGTACTCTGATGGATGACAGTCTCTTTATTAAGGGAGATAGTTCGTTGTTGAGATTTGTACACTGATTGATGGTAGTCTCTTCATTAAGGGAGATAGTTTGTTGTTGAGATTTGTACTCTGATGGATGGTAGTTTATTCATTAAGGGAGATAGTTCATTGTTTAGATGTTTGTACTCTAATGAATTGTAGTCTCTTTATTATGGGAGATAGTTCGTTGTTGAGATTCACTTTATTCTAATAGAGTTACTTTGTTCCCAACCATAAGAGCCGATGTCAACGATTTGTTTCCAGACATAAGTACTGATGCCAATCATTTGTTACTGGCCCTAATATTGGTATTTATGGCTATTATCTTAGCGCTTCTATTTGCATCCTTCGGGTCATTAATTTTCGATCCCCTATGAGTCAATGTTACTCTCTTTTTGCTATCCCCTCTTGAAGTGGGTAGTTGAAAGTATCTTTTGATAGTTGTCATCAATTGCTTTTTCCTAAGTTATTGAGTCAGTGATACCCTATCTCCTCTTTTGGCTTTACCCCAATAGAGTTGAGTCTTCTTCCCCCCGACGATTTATTTTCCTAGTTGAACTCTCTTTTTGATCTATTGTTTTTCCTCTATTTACCCAGTGGAGTTCTGTGTTACCTTTGGATTTGTTTGTTTTCATTCTTGATTATAAGCATTTCATGGCAACTTAGGGCCAAAAATAGGGTTTGTTTTGTATTTAATTATCTTCAATCGCGTAGAGATGAAGATTTTAACCTTCGTATCTTCGGATAAAAGATACTTAAATAAGGGCAATTGTTATACCCCAATTTCCCCCCTAATATATCTCATAATCTCATGTCACAATGCATCAAGACACACATATTAGGGTTGTTTCTCTTTATCCTATCTATAAGTTTTCTCTATAGGGATTACCAAGCACCTTGAATTGTGTATCTTGTACATGTGTTTTTTTAACTAACATTAATATGTGTATATATGTTCCTTTGAATGTTCATATTCTAGGTGATCACAATTGCATTCATCTCACCATCTAATCTAAGGTTTGAGGGGTGATTCTCAATCAAATGGTTCTCTAATGGATTGCAAGAGCTCAATCTTAAAGTCATGTTTATCACATTGAAACAACCGGCTGAAAATCATCAGATAATGAAGTCGCTATCGAACATCTTTTATCCCACATGAAGGGAAAGGTAAACATCGAGAGAACCTGAGAAGTGAGAAGTCACAGTCTTGTGATTAAGAGATCGGGTAAGGGAATTTGTTACGCGAGAGAAAGGTATTAGCACCCCACACTACCGGTAGTACTCTACAGTATCCATACTTGTTATCGATCTTATGGGTGTCTAAACTATGCTTACTGCTTATTACTGAGGAAGAATGCATGCAAAAGAAAGGAGAAAGTAATGTAGGGAAAATAAAGTTGTGATCGCTTGGTCCCTACCCAAATGCCTACGTATACTTTTTGACGAACCAAAGTTACCGTAGTTTAGCTCACATGTTTTTGTTTGTTTGTGTTTTTTATGAACAATGTTAATTCTGCCTTCTGCAGCAACTCGACCTTTGGAGACTCACGCGTTAGCATAGAAGTAAATTAACATGTCCTTACATGAAAATGGTTTTGAGTTACGCCCTCAAGGCAAGATATTTTATTTGATTGGTTTGTATTTTGTTACCTTGAAAAAGGTCTTAAGTATGATTAGCATGTTTTATGCTTTTCTAAAAAAGGGAAAGTTTTAGTTTTAAATGCACATGCAAAAAGGGAGAAAACAACTAAGGGAGACTAGCCTAGCACTACCCCTAATGTTATCATATAATGATGGCCCTAAGTCAAGGATGAAAGGGAAATCTCTACCTAATGTTATCATTCATGGTTTACAACCTAAGGTCTAACTTGCGTCTGAAAGGAACAAGCGCATCCTAAGGGAACATGGTATAGAAAGAGAGTAAACATACAATCTCGAAAGAGCACACACATGAAACAGTAAAGAAAATAAGCGAAATGCTTTAGCCTAGGGGAGTGTATCACACCAGACAAGAAAGCAGGAGTGAATAATCGAAGAAGAGAAATGATTTAGCTAAGAGGAGCGTATCACCCGAAGAAAACAAGCGGGAGTAGGATGTAAAACAAAAATGTGATGTCCAAAGCGACTGAACATCTAACCAAGATATAGAAGATCGAGGTAGACAACAAAAGGCAATATGAATGATCACGGAGTGTCAGCATCATCCAATGCGAACTCCTTACAAAATGTGGGGGTTGATTGCGAACCCTTCTACACATGACATACTCAATTCATATGATCTTGGGACTATGTTCGGAGCTCTGAAATTGCAAAAAGTGAGCATAGAAACGACACAGATGAAAACTGGTGGGGGTTGTTAGAGGGGTTGTGGAATTCTGTTAGATATTTTTGTTGAATTCTATTAGTTAGGAAGGTTGGGAAGTTAAATCTTAGGTTCATATTAGAATGAGTGAATTAGTGTTAGTTTTGAAACTGGAACATTGGAGGGAGAGTTTTTGTAGTTAGCTAACTAATAGTAAATTTGTTTTGGATTGCTAACAGTCACAAAATTGCTTGAACTAATCTTGTTTGAATTTTTTATGATAATTGGATATAGTTTTGGATATTTGCTTATGTTCTGGTTTATCGATTTGCTTGGTGATTCTGGTTTTTTGATGTGGGGCCTCTTGATTATTGGTAGTTAATTTTCTAAATTGTTTTTCTATCAATGCATGTTTTATGGTTAACTGCTTCTGAAAATTACAAGGCTGGTTGCAGGACATTGGCTCTGAGTTACTGGTGTAAAATATACTGCAAGATGTATGGGCTTATGGTGCAGTGGCCCGATCAATATTCAGAAACCAAAAATTGCAAAAAATTGTAAAAATGTTGTGCGCATGGATACAGGGGGTGTGGCATGGAATTCTCCAGGCTTTTGATCATAGTGGCCCAAAGCCACAACAATGGATTGAGCCCTTAATTAACAAAGAAAAAGCAGTGAAATTTAAAAGGAAATTAAATAAACAAGACTGAAACGACGCCATTTGGACATGCTGAGAGTTTTAACCTAGAAGCCTTTCTATCTTTCTTCAACGTTTCTTTTCTTTGTTCTCTCAACATTCATATACAGCTTCTGGCAGCGTCGCCACTGCTGAACCCTTCTAATCACCAAAACATGAACCTGAACTCTACCTCAAACTAACTCTTGATTGCGAATCTTGCATTTGAATTCACTAACTTCTCATCAATCCATGCATCAAAGATTTCCTCTAGAATTCCTAGGAATTGTAACTTGGTAATTTGTGGCAGTGATGATAAATTAATGGAGGAAACCACCGAGATCCTCCTTTACAAGCTACAAGCTATCACCAGATGTAAAGAAAATGACAAGGAGATGGACAATTCGAAGGATTTTGAAGCTTATTGGTCAAAGTATAAACTGAGGAAGGTGATTATCCGCGAAATTGTTTGACTTCAGGTATGTACTTTTGATTACTCCAGATGTGCAAATTATTCTTTCACTCTACTTCTTCTTTCTATGTGATTTCTGAAGTGTTAGAATTGTTGTAGTGATTATGATGAAGATTCAAAGGATCTGTGGAAGTTGTTGCTGATTGAAGAAAGACGAAGATTGATGTGTGATGCTGGTGTAGAGAGGATAAAGATTTGTGATGTTGATGATGAAGGTTGAAAAATGGTTACAAATATGTGAAGGTTGATGCATAGATATTCAGGGAGCTTCAGAGATTTCAGAGGGAGATTTTTCTATGTTATTTTTCTGGTAATTCTTCTCAGACTTTTGAGAGTGAATGTGATGGTGATAAAGAATGTGATTTGGTTGAAGAGAGAAAGACTCAAGTTAAGAAGGTTCTATAGAGAGAACTTGAGGATGAAGATTTTTCGATGGAGAATTTTATGAATAATGATCGTGAACTCGGAAAGAAAGGTTAAGATGGAGGTTATGGTGTGGGAGAGAAATCGAGAATAAGGGTGAAGGTTGAGGATGGAAGAGAGAGAGCAAAAATAGATTTCTTGGGATAATTTTCTAGTGAGTTTCCTATAACTGATTTTCCTCTGACTTTTTTGGTGAATCAGTCATGAACTTCCTCCTCTCTTTTCTGTTATATTCTGTTATGAAGACTAGTTAGAAGTTTGTTAGGAAGTTTATTAGCATCAGTTACAGGGTTTGAGTTATTCGTTATGACAGATAAGAGATTAGAAAATAGTTAGGATCTCAAAAATTTGTTACAGGTTAGTTTTCCCTGTTTTGAAAAATAGTTAGCACTGTTAGTTTTGTTTTTCCTTTTCCTGATTTTTTCTTTGAAATAATGCAGGGCTATCAGTTAGTACAAGGAATGATTTATGGATATAGTTCTGATTTATGTGAATGCAGGGATGGCTATAGCAAGTGGCAGCATGGAAGTGATTCTGATTGTTGTACTTCTGCAGTTCTGAACCGAGGTCTGTGGATCCATAAAAATGTTGAAGTCGTAACTTTGGAGCCCATTTGGCCCTGAAGAAAATTGAAGACAAAGATTAAGGATTAGGCTAGATTTATGATTAGACTTTGATGTAAATGCTTTTTGTAATGTTCCTGAAAATCAGCGATATAAATGGTGACATTTTGAACAGAAACTCTCTTGTAATAAATTTCCCCTTTGATAAAAATGCGATAAACCTTGTATGCCTCATTTGAATTTCCAATCTTCTTCGATAAATATTTTGGAATGTTTACTTGTAATGATTCCCATGTCCATTAAAACTCGATACTTTTATGGTGCTTTGAACAAATTTGGATTCAATTTGAATGAAGTTTGAGATTGTAATGGATCTCATGGATAGGATATGCAATGTTCCTTCTTTTTCAAATAAAGTTTAGAATTTGTTTTCCCTCCATATGCTTCATTTTAATTTTCCGATTTTCCTTTAATTCTTGCTACACTTGAATAAGTACCAACAAATAGGATGAAAACCAACAAATGCTTAACATGGACTCTGGTATAAGGTCTCATCCAAAAGTTTTCAACTTAGAAGTGATTCCATGAAGTCCATACAAATGTCCATGTTCAAATCTCCCCTCTTTTAATAAAACTTCAAAAAACAAAACTATTGTCACAAATAAATGGGAATGTAAAAGCCTCGAATGATTTGAACAACTTGATTCATAGCCAAAACCTAACTCATATGATAAACCCAAGCATAGGTAAGTAAACCCTGCTCCATGACCAAGGATGCCTTGATGAAGATAAGCCTTGCATGAAGTTGAGTAAGAAGTCTGTAGTGACGATATAATTAAAATCTGATTTAAGACCAAGAAGACTTCAATAGATCAAATCTTGTATGAAATACTCACCTCAAACCATGTGAACCCTAAGTCTATCCCTAGCCTTGATCCCATGCCAAATTTATTGATGATGACAAATAGCCTTGTATGAGGGACATACCATAATGATGATGCTCGTATCTCAGTTGAAATAAAAGTTGCAGAAGATACAAAACCTTGACACCAATACGAAACCCTAATCCCATGACCATTGATCCAAGTTCCAAGACTTGTTTTTAGTGAATGCATGTTGTGTTAAATGACCTACTAGAGAGGATATGTACATGAATAATATGAGATGCATAAGCCAAATGATTGAATAAAAGGGTGGGACAAATTTGGGGTATTACAGGCATCAAATACTTGTGGTTCAAGGAGCTCTCTCACTTTATTTAAGTAAATATCTCCTCAAAGTTGATGGTGGAATTCTTCAAGAAGATTCATAAGTTCATGTGTTTATATTTATGCCTTCTTGAACAAGATTCATTGAGACTTAAGCTCCATATTTGAGTGTGCTTCAAGACAACATCATTTAAAGGCCTTTTATGAATCAACATGCTTTATTTTTCCAATAAAGTTCAAAGAGATTCAAGGTTGGCTCAACAAGTTTGACCTAATTGAGAAAATGCTTGATTCAGTGACCACAAGTGCACAACTCTCTCAATTTTAAACATTTGGAGTTGGTTTTCTTTTCTATGGATTCTTATAATCATCAACAACAACCTCTCTTCACATGATAAGATCCAATTAAGCAAGAAAAATCATCAAAAGTTAAAAGGGGTTTCAAGTCATTTTAACACTCTCTAAGCTAGGGTTTGTTGACTTCTATAAACCATATCTTGCTTATTGTTTGAGATTTTTGATTGGGTCCAAAGCCATGATTCTCTTTAAAGGGTCCTTAATAAGCTCTCTTCAGGGATCTAAGGCTAATTTTGAATGGAAGATCACTAATGATTGAGAATGATTACAAGTCTCCTTGAAAGGCCTTTGAATTTTAGGGCTTGACTTCAAATGATCATAAGTTGGTCAATTTTTATCTCATTGAGCCCATTATTTTTACAAAATAATCTTTTGGAGGCCTACTAAAACTTTGTTTTTTTTGTGAAATACTTGAGAATTTTTATGATCTTCCAAAGACCATAACTACTTCAATTTTTATGATTTTTGAGTGACCTTAATTCCAAACATAAATTCAAAAGGTTTACTTCATGTCATCTTCAGAAATCAAGATCAAATTTTTAGTAGAAAGTCATTTAATTTTAAGAACATTATAGGTCATTTTGAAGTTCAACACTTAGAATTTTTCTAAGTACAAAACATCTGTGTGTTTTTCAAAAATTCAATTGGACATAAATTTTTTCTCAAGCATCCAAATGATGTATTTCTTGGAACATTGTAAAGACTGTAACCTTGTCTTTCAAATGCTTCAAGAACCACCCCATAAATGTCCCTGGATAGTGAGATATGAATTATTGAAGTTAGCTCCATGGAATCTGTTTTTGCTTCAAGTCTAAATATTTTACCACGAGTAAACTTTGATTACAGGTCAAATTACTCAAGGTTTAGTTTCTAAACATGTTTAACTAATTGTATAGATGTGTTTTGACGAGAATTGCACTTGATATGAGGCCGTTTTCAGGAATTTCAAGTCACGTGTTTGGCGTGATCACATCTAGCTTGGTTTTCAAGATTTTCCCATAATTCCTCTTGTTTCTCATCATCATTCACTTCCCTATAAATAGAGTATGATATCCCACTTATTGGACAAGCTTTGGAGAGCCAAAGAACCTCTGTTGAACTTCCTCCATACCTCTCAATTCTATAACATCGAGTTTGGTTCTAAAGCATTTTTCAATCCAATTTCTTTGTTGATTCTTCATCCTTGAACTTATCTGAAGCTAACAGAAGAAGAACCAAGCCTTGAGGTGTCTTGAATCGTGCTATCCAATTCAAGTTTTAGAGCTCTGAATTTAAACTTCAAAAAGTAGATTCCTCCATTAACTTTCTCCAAACTCGTTGCTACAACATAGCTCTCATCACTCTGATATTAATCACATCATTATTTTTTTACTGGAAGTGAGTTTTGCTCATGAATTTTCAAATCCCTTTCCAACTTTTTTCTTATGGTTTTTCTCAAATCGATTGAGCTATAGTTTATATAAATTTTTCACGAGGGTACCATTGAAATCGTCTTGAAGAGATGAAGTGAATGGCACCGATCTGAGCTTCTGACTTTACGGTTTGTGAGACCTTAAATTTGTGTGTGGCTGGAGGTTGACGATGACCAGCGTGTCATCTCTCAACCAATGACATGGTGCCACACATTTTTTTCAAATTTGTTTTTTAATTAATGATCTGGTGGTTTATTCACTAATGTTCATATCATACACAACACGCTAGATCTCTTGGATTTGATTATTAACGCATTTTGACATTGATCCAATGGTCTACATCTTTTTGGTTTTATTTTTTATTTTCTGATTTTATATTTTAATAGTTTTAAACTTCAAAAATTCATAAAAAATTATTTCAACTTCAAAAAGTCTGAAAAAATTCTCAAAAATACTTTTGATTTTTCTCTTTCTGATTTCTATTTTTTCACAATTTTATTATGTGATATGATATTTTTTATGATTTTTCACTTTATTTAACTTGTTTTAATTGTTTAAAAATACTTTTCTTGATTTTTAAATTCAAGAAAAATTATGGAAGGATCCAATGACCTCTTGATAAATATTGGTGACCTCATTTTATTTTTATTTTTTATTTTACTATTTTTCACAAATTTTGGTTTATTTTGCTTATTTCTTTAAATTTTAAAAATAGTTTCTGACTTAAAAAATTCTGAAAATTTTTGTCAACACTTATTGACTCATGTTTGACCTCTAACTATTTTTTTTAGGATTTTTATTTGGTGTTTTAATATACTTTGTATATTTTACCAATTATTTCCCTTTTATTAATCATTTTAAATATTATTTTATTAAGTTTATTTTATTATTTTTGTTTGGTCCTGATTTGGGTGTTATTTTGGGACAAGTTCCTCAACTTCATTGGATCTTGGGTGTTGATAGGTTAAAAAAACCAAATCCACCAAAATGGATGAATGATGTTAATGATATTTGAAACCCTAATTTCATGTGATACATCCCCTCCCTCTTCATATAATCCCTTTCTTGTTTTTACTTGTGTTACATGATTTTGGAGATGATCTACATATCATTTATCTAACATGTTGGTTCATAGATTGCTATTGACTGACCTCAAAATAGGTGTGACTTATACATAAGTCCACTTACGATTGCTTAACATAGCACTAAATTTGTCCTGATTCAAAAAATGATCATTCGTGGCCCAAACCTATATTTCCAAGCCCAAGTATGTTTAATTTGAAACCTTTGATCCAACAACCTAGAGGTTCATTGTTATGAGGCTTTGATATTATCAATCCTCTAGTGAACTTTCATGAGGTTTGGTCTAAGTGAATCATTTAAACATCGTTGATCATATATGCTTACCTTGAGTACTTGAAATGAATGATATACTTGACACAAAGCAAATGAAACTTATTGTTGAGAAGCTCTGATTTTATCAATCTTCTAATTTGTTTTCAAATGCAAGTTTCAAGATGGTCATTCAACTAATCTCTAACATCTAACTCATTAACAATTGACTTTACTCTGTGCATTTACTTTTCGCTTTCACTTTATGCCCTTTATTTTATGCCTTTATTTTTATGCACCATTTACTTTAGCATTTACATTTCATGTTATTTTTATCTTTTCTTACTTGAGCATTTATCTTTATGCCATTATATCTTTTCTCATTTGATCATTTATCTTTATGTCTTTTTTTATTTTGCTCACTTGAGCTTTATTTTCTTTTTGAAGACACTTAATAACCAACTTGAATATTCAAAAACTTTAAGGTTACTTGGACTATTTGGTTACTATCCTTTGCATAATGGAGTTATGGACCTCTTGGACTTAGGATTAGAAGCCTTGATAACCCATGGGGCCTTGTGTCTCTGTTGTTATTTTGTATGAAGTTCTTGGGGTATACTCCAAGGCATTGGGTTGATTTTATTTGTGTGCAGGTTATTCTGATTATATACTTTGTCTTTGATTGAGAATTGCTCTGTATACAGTTGTTGCTCTGCCTAAATTATTTTTTGTGAATACTTAATTCATCTAA